GACATGCCTGAACCCTCATCCCATTTTGTCTAGCTTCTGCGCCCTTTGAACGAGTACCTGTTTATCAAAGTGCTAATGCTATCAGACAAACATAGGCGTGAGTAGGTAGAATGGCATGCAGTCTTTTTCTCCAAGAATAGATATTGGTTGTGTCTTCCTTGTTTAACTTGAGCATGTCACTATCTGTGATTTAAATTAAGAAGCATGGACTTTTCTCTGTGGAAATCTACCCACATGTAGTGTTGTATGGCGCAAAGGATCTAGAACGTGGGGGTGTGAGTCTGGAGCGGGAGTTCAGGAGAAAGGGGCCGGATCTTCACTGAGAGGCTCACGGCGTGCCAGTTAGTACTATGATCAGGGCCGCAGCCATCTTCGGAGTCAGAAGTTCCCAGCTCCTCCATGTGCTGGCATCCTGACTGTGACAGGTCTCTAACCTCACAGAGCTCCATTCTCCCGTCTTAAAAGATCGTCATGTGCACCTCACCAGACTGTGGTGAGGAGAAATGTCATGGCCGGAAAAGTGCTCTGTAAACAGTAGAGCTCTAAACCAACAGTCACAACTATGTGTTATTTTTGTGTCCTTGTTCATGCCCCCAAAGGTTTTGTGTCAGTTAGTTGTTAACGTAAGCAAGATTTGGAGAGCACATTTAGAAACAGAGAGAAGTTTGCCAGCAGGGAGAACTAGGGCTGTGACACCAAGGAGGGGTGTCGTTGTCTACAAAGGCTGTCGTTCTAACTTTGGGAACAAAAGACAAGGTGGGGGAGGGGGACACGGAGGGAGGGAAAGGGGGCGATCCCCCAGCTTCCCAGTGAGGCATCGAGGGGAGCATGGATCCCGAGAAGGGACACTGTAAATGAAGAGGGCTCATGGAAGTGACTTAAGTGTCCCAGCGAAACCCGGCGAGCAAGGATGGGGTCAGCCTGCAGACTTCCTGGAAAAACTCCTACTGGACGGTCAATAGCTGAATCTCCGTGGGTGAGCCATAGCAGTGTTTTCATTAAGGTGTCTTAAAAACAGGGCAAAGCTGTAATTTTTATGACTTATTACAAAATATAGTAGACTGTATCCAAAAGATGGATTATGTACGGGCTTGCAGTGTTTGGGTATTACTTACTCAACAAGTTGTTACTGCTTCCATTACTGAATGTCTGCTTTGGCTTTAGAGTACTTGGTTATCTGGGTAACATTCCCTAAGTTTTTTATTTCATGTAATTTTGGCACATATCTACAACCCTTTTCCCCCTTATTTCTTGAAAAAATACTATGTTTGAAAGACTGATGAGGCAGACTTTTACTGGAGGGAACACTCTAGGGCATTCCCTTCTGCCTCTGAGAGTAGTGTGATTTGGGGCAAAGACGTTAAACCCTCGGGGCCTCAGTTTCTTCACCTGTGAAATGAGCATAATAGAGTATCTACAGCATGTCCTTTTCAACCCAATACAGGAAAACATGTTCCCTTCTATACTCCCCTAGGATGAAGCTGTGTAATGTGCTTTTATTAACTGCACCTTTAAAAATATAGCCCTCCCGCATCACAGCCTAAAGATAAGTGAACATAATAGCATGCATACACTTGATCATTATGGAGCTAGGGTAGATGGCTCCATGGGCACTATATTCCTTCACAAAGATTGGAGCTGGGCATTTTGTCTTCTTGCTAACCCTTATTTAAGACCTTTAAATCGTATCTGTGGTGGTCTTTTCCTACCCCTCCCATCAGGAAACATTTTTGTTTCTCCCCTGACTTTTTCTATCCTCTGGCATCACTACTCCCTTTGTATTAGAATCTGATCTCTTCTCCCATGGTTCCCAGGGACAGTTGTTACCATCCAGTTCCTGGTGTCTAAGCAGACACCCCTTGGTCAGAAGGGGGAGTATTCAGGGAGCCCTGGGTGGGACGCGTGCTCAGGTGCCACACAGCCGTGCTTTCTGTAGCTCTCCTTGCAGACCAGTTCAGAGCTTTATCTCTGACAGCGCTGACAACAAGTACTAATGTGTTAGCTCGTGTTCATCTGCTCTTTGTAGTTTCATGGGACCAGGGAGTGATGCCTAAGTGGCTAAATCCTCAGAACCATTTCTACATGGAACATTTCAGTGGGCTGCGGCCATGTCCAGCATTTCTCCAGACTGGCTACAGCTACTTTATTTTAAATTATTCTTTGGGGGCATCCTAACTGAGGCTGGAAGGAGGGGCTTGTTTTTTAGCACACCATTAGCTTCCTTGTAATGATCTCCTTCAGACTCCTCAACAGCTACCTCGCCTGTGACCATCGTCCAGGACTGCTAATTAAGCAATAACATTTAACTTACACTAGTGTTATTTCTTTTAACTTAGGTTTCAAACCTTTCTGATCAACTTAATTAGTTTGTAATAAACATCGCAATCCCACATTGCATAGGAGTTTTCCACCAGAAAAAATTCAGAGGGGGCGGGGGGAAGTAAAACATGAAACCCATTTTGTGAGGAAGAAAAAAAAATGCAATATGTGTAAAAACAGAACAAAGAAATAATAAAATACAGTTAGTGAATCATAACTTGATCCGCTTTTACATAGGTCCCTAAATTACTGGCCTAGAAAGCTGATAGCAGTGCTTCTTAAACCATTAACAGCAACGACAACAAGCCAAGAAAAAAAAATGCCACCTCCTCATCAGCATTCTAACTCAGCGTTTGCCCATGACAAGGGACACCCTGAAAAGACGGTCCTTTGCAGCTTCTCTTGCCTGAAAGCTGTTATTTCTGGTATGACTACATGACTGAGGGGCACCGTGGTTACATCTCCCAGGCTGCTCTTGTGTCCATCATCTGCACTGGTACATGCTGGTCAGATCAGCAAACTCACTGGCACATACTGAGTGACAACACGGGGGGCCTGGAGTGATTGTATTTCTCAGATGCAAGAGAGCATGTTATTGATCTCTGTAATCCACAGAATATGCCTGTGAAGCTTTACTAGGTTAGGAACTGAATCCACCATTCTTAGGTGCCATTGATTGCAATTTTAAAACAGGCTGGGCAGGATTTAAGAATGCGTGTGTTTGCTATGAAAAGTTTCCCTGGAAAAGGTCTGAGAAATACTTGGGATCAATACTGCAATGCTACATTCTCCAGGAGTTTGAAACGGGGAGCTTGGACACCCACTTCCAGCTTTTCCTCTTGGCTAGGAACTTAGAGGGTGCCTCAAAACACCGGGTCTGTTCTGTGGCCAAAGCAGCACTTGTCATGAATTGCAGAAAAGCCAACACAGCCCTGTTTCCTCTTTGTAATAAATCATCTTGGTTTTTCTATAGATTGCAGGTGGCGTGAGAGGCAGAGCGAGCAAGCCTGCCAACATGCGAGCAGTGCTTCAGCACCTTTTTCAGCTGAGCAAGAAACCTTTGCTTAAACTTGTGCGTTTTACACAGGGAGAAATCGAAGCCAGTGGCATATTGTCAGCTGCTGCATTGTCACCGTTTGCAAAGGTCACTGGAATTAATTGGCTTCTTACATTACACATTGTAAAGTGGCTCAGCTTTGGACACATTTATGGGAAAGTGGCTGATTATTATTATTATTATTATTATTGGTTTTGGTTCATATCATACACTAGGGGACCAACGATAACTCTGAAATCACAGTTGTAGGGAGAAATCACATGCAGTCTGAAAGAAGCAGACGCTGTTAACTGTTTGGTTAGTTGAACTAAAGGGGGAGGGGGGACAAGTTCCAGAAACTGAAATGTAAATACTAGGTTTGTTTTAGTGCCTTCACAGGTCCCTTAAAGGGGGTCGTGAATGTTTCCATGGACATCCTCAATGGATGTTGTCTGTTTGAAAGCACACTCTGAGTAGCTGCTTCCTTTGACAAGACTGGAAGTGTAAATTAACCCGCACTGTCTTCCATGAATCATTGCTACACGGATGCTCATAGTTTACTGAGAGTAATTCTGTCTCAAAGGCATTGCTTCTGAAACTAAAGAGGAGAAATGTCAGTTAGGAGGAATATTTATAGGACCAGGGCACACTGTTTTCTAGGGAGATATTTTGAGTCCTCATTTTCTCCTTATTTGTCACATGATCCCCTTTTCGCTAAATTGGGAGCGTTCTACTCATATTCATGAAGCCGCTTTTACTAAAATGATAGGCACGGAAAACAAGGACATATTGTTAAAAATGAATAAATTAGAGGCGAATGAAGCTACCCGGTTCAATACTGGCAAAGGGAACGGAGCAGTTGGTCTGAACAAACAATCTTCTTCAACGGGAAATGTGCATTAAAGCCATCCTGCTGCGAGGCTGTTAATTACCAGAAAAGATAGGAACTCCTCTGGTTCCTGGGATCCTTTTGCCGAGCATGTGTCGGATCCAGCTGTATTAGCAATCAGACATTTGCACTGTCCCTTCAGACCAGCGAGGGCATGTTAGTAAAGGGAAGTCATTTACCCCAACCCCTGAGATGCAGCCTGGCAGAAATTCAATCACCGTTTGTGATATGCTCATGCCTCACTCTGCTCAGTGGTTTTAGCTCTTGACACACAGCAACGCTTGCCTTTATCTCCATCCACTAGGTGAAAGGGGGGGAAAAAACGCCCCAATTGGGAGGTTGGTTTCAAAACACAGCATGATGTGCGATCTGCTTTTCATTACAAATACTGAGAAGAAAAAACGGGGGGAAACCCCTGCGCCCCCTCCCATGCTCCCCTCTCTTCTTCTCTCTCACTGTCCCCCTTCTCTCTGCCTCCTCTCTCTCCTCCCCCCAGCATGGCTTTCTCTCTCCCACTCACATCCTCTGATGGGCGTTCGAGCTCGTAAATGCATGGAGGAGCGTCGCGCACACAGCGAGGCATGCACACAGCCCCAGGGCTTCTGCGTTTCTTCCCAAAAGTAAAAGGGAAAGAAAAATGCCCTTGGAATCCAGACAGGAAGCAAACATCAAAGGAGAATCTAGGCGCAAAAAACCAAGCAGCAACTCCACAAGAAACAGGGGCCGATTCAATAGAAATGTATGTTTCCAACTTACCTCGCCAGAGCAGTTTCTGCCTCCCCCGCCGCCTGCGTCCCCGGAGCGCGCGGACCCCTCAGCTCCGTCGTTGCGCGATCCTCACATGGCTGTGCTCTTGGCCGGCTGAAAAGCGGCGCCCGTGCGCGTGGAATACAGCGGGCACACACATGTACTACAGAGAGGCACGCATGCCGGCGCACACTGATCTCTCCCTGCTCTAAAACGGAAAGGCAGGCTGGCGGCTGCCGCGGGGCTCCCGCCCTCCTTCCCCCGGAACCCTCTCGGTCTGCAGGCTGGGGCTCGCCATCCAGGGCAGGCAGAGCCTGGGGGCTGGCCCGCCTTCCTTCTGCGCGTCTCCGTGGGGGTTACTGCTGCATCGCTCACCCGATCAGTTGTCACACTGACATGGTGCTGCCTGCTCGGCGCTCATTAATAACCGAGCGCCCTCCGCTCCCCAGAGAGGAGCCAATCGCTTCGGACTGCCAGCACGGAGCACTCGCGGCTGCTCCCGTCTGGTTGGCTGGAGCAACCTGTCTGTTCTGTGACACTGCTGCTTAGGATACAAATAAATGAAACAGGTTTGCATATTTTCCTAGGTACCGTTTCTTCCCGCCCCCTTCCCCTCCCTCCCTTCCTCCCGTCCCTCCATCCATCCTTCTTCCTTCTATCCTTTTTTTTTTTTTTTGAGGGGGTGGAATTTTTGGACAAGTTTTCCCATTTGTAGGTTATCAGTCTTTCAGAGAAACTGTATTTTTTCTCTCAAAACAGCAGGGCACACTACTAATAAGAAATTTCCAAATATTCAAAACACCCGGGAGGGACGCGGACGCACAGCCTCTGACACCCCCTGTGAGGCTCAGGACGGCTGGATTATTAGAGCTGCTTGGAGCTGTTTGAGTGGCATTTGGTCCTCTATAGGTCCTGTTTAATTTAGCATACGTGCTTACTGTTCAGTAACACCTTTTTCTTTTTAAAGCAATGGCATTTCTTATCTGAATTGACCAGATTTTTAAAATAAAGCGTGTATTTGCTTCTCTATCATCCACAACACTGATATATGAGGTTTTCTTTTTTCAATCTGTATTTCCAATTACACTCACCCACTTTTCTAGATGTCATTTAGCCAATCTGCCACATATGAGTGGGTACATGTGTTGAGGTGTTTGTGTGTGTGTGTGTGTGTGTGTGTGTGTGTGTGTGTGTGTGTGTGTGTGTGTGTGGTGTGTGTAGGGTGTATGTTTTACTGTTCTGGGGGAGTATTTCAACTGTAATAGATTAAATCCTCAAGAAAACAATTTTTTTTGGATTCTTAGACCTATTAACTCTGAATGTATATTTACCAGCAAAATATACTTCTATATACCCCATAGGTAAAACACTTACTGAATTATCAGAAATTGGGAAAAGAAACAGAAAAGCATAGCAATGTAGATTTCTGCAGGAACACCTATGAATAAATAGACAGCAATGTAAAAAATGCATGTTTTACAACCTTAATTAGTATACTAGAGAAACATCTTGTTGACAAGAATGGAACATGAGGATTAATTTATCAACAGGTCAGAAGCGGGCTAAATTCATGACTCCAGCCCTAGTTTTGAGAGACTACCCTCTAGTGGAGTAAAAACAAATGACATTTTCATGTTATTAGATTTACTTGGAGGGGAAAAAGCTTCGCATCTAATTGCTCAAGTGTTGATTGAAATGACATAGACCTAACGGTTTGCAGTTATTATTATGGTGATATCAGGAACTTTTTTTAAAAAAAACAACAATAGTTTCTAGTTACTAAATGTTTTCACTCTAGTTTTCTTTTAAAAAGTTTCCAAATGCTTTATATTTTTCATCTAGAAAATTATGTTCTAATGGTTTCTAAACTTTTGAATAAAAATAAATTGAAGACAAAAGTAGCTTCTCACTTAATCTAATTAATACCTGTTTCAGAATGTTATTGTAAGGTTTTATGCTTTATCAGACACTCTAGTGTTTATAACAGGGGTTTTGGTCAGAAATTGGAGATGTTGTCATGGAATGTGTCTACTTATCATTTAAGGTCCTTGTGATAATAGAAATAATTATCCTTATTACTCCTCCCCAATTTTACTCTCTCTAGCTCCAATTCCTTGCATATTTCAAATCATTTCAACACTTGCCACATATGGAATAATTATACAAAATTGTGATAATTATTTTAGAAAAGGAATTTTAGTGTTATACCATTCGTTCCCAAAGCATATCCCTTTGCTTGATTGGCATTGATTGTATAATTGACAAATCCAGTAATCAGACCAATTATAATGCACTCCTATAATGAAGGTAAGTGGTGATAATCAAACATATATATAATTAAACTCCTTTCTTGGTTTATAAATGAAACCAACAATCATACCTAATATTTTAAATTTCAATCTCTTTCGGAAATCAAAGAAAAATCTAAGATTTAACTTCGTGAGAGTTTAATATTTTAAATGCTCCCTTGTGCTATATCATAGGAAGTTGTTGTAACTAAGATGCTATCTTTTGGGCACATAGGGCTTTGGATTGCTTGCCTTGTAGTTGTCTTTTTGGTGTAGCCATATGGGGTAAATCCAAAAGATTTCATGCTCAGTTTTAGAAATTTAATATCATGGAACATCAGAAGTGAGAGTTCAGTGTGAGAAAGACAATAGCTCTGGCTTTGGGAGAAAAGGGTGAGGATTTTGTTCTTTGGCTGTGATTTTCTTCTTGCTCCAACATCAGCCACTATGCAGAATCAGGGTTGGTTTCAGGTGATTTTCACTGATCAGTCAGGTCTGTTATTTACTGGACATATGAAAGGTGGCTCCCCAAAATGATATGTTAAAAACTTACTGAGTCATAACATCTTAATGAAGTACCATATGAAGACATTAAATTGTGGTTGAATAAGGATTTCAGGGCTTTGGAAGTAGTGCAATTGTGAATGGCCATCAAAGTAAAACTTAGAATCTTCAAGCTCGAGTGTCCTGAGTCCTAAGAGATCAGGAGACTTGTCCCAGTGCACACAGCTGAGCAAGAACAAGAACCAGATCATCCAAGATTTTCCCCATGTCACTACCCTCTCATCTACTGGACAATTGATCTATCTCTGATTTTTATTTTTATTTTTTTAGATTTCAGGTGTACAATTCTGTAATACATCATCTGCATATCACATTGTGTGTTCACCACCCAGAGTCAGTTCTCCTTCCATCACCATAGATTTGATCCCCTTTATCCTCTTCTACCACCCCCTCCCCCCTTACCCTCTGGGAGCCACTAAACTGTTTGTGTCTATGAGTTTTGTTTCTTCATTTGTTTGTCTTGTTCTTTTATTGCTTTCAGTTTTATATCCCACGTATCAGTGAAATCATATAGTTCTCTACTTTTTCTGTCTGCCTTATTTCTCTTAGCATTATAATTTCAAGATCTAGCCATGTTGCCGCAAATGGCACTATTTCATCTTTTCTTATGGCAGAATAGTATTCCATGTTTTTTATTCTTTTTCTCATTCTGTTTTCTTTCTTTCTCAGTTTTTATTTCCCTTAAGAATTCACGGAAATGTCAGAGAAATTTCGCCTTGCGAGTATCCTCTAGTCTAGTGCATGGACATGCATGTCAGCTGCCTCGTAGTGGATGTCCACAGGGTTTCCTGAATGAGGATTTAGGTCTAATGAAAATGTATTGAGATAATTTTAAAACATACATGTATAATTACAGTCCTTAAATATATTGAAAGAGTTCTGCCTTCATTGTCAAATAAGAAATTATAGGAGTGCAATAAATATGTATTCACTGATTACAGGTGGAAGTTATTAATTTGAAGGTTTATTGCTTTTTCATGGAGTCCTGGGCAATGTTTTCCTGGATTTTGTTTTGTTGTTAGAGAAGCACTGGACTTTCATTAGGGAAGGAGCCTGGGTATTGGGCCAGAGGGTGGGTTCTGAGGATAGTCTGCTGGGTCTGAACGCTTTCCCTGACACTTCCTTGCTTTGTGACCCTGAGCAAGAACTTAGTATCTCTGTGTCTCTGTTTCCTCTTAGGATTGTGAAGAGGATTAAAGTAGGTAATATGATGAGAGCTTAGAAAAGTACCTGGAACATAGTAAACTTGAACAAATGGTTGACGTCGCCATTATCATCATCAACCTGTGTTCCAGCTCTCCCCTTTGTTTGGAATGCCTTTCTGCCTTCTCCGCCCAGTGCCTGCCTCTCGCGTGTCTCCCCTGTCCTAACTAGGTTAGTTCAGTTCAAATGCTTCTCCTCCTGGGGAATCTTCTGAGACCCTCTAACAAGATACAATCTCTTATTTGACCCAAAATAGCATTCTTTATTCCTCTGATCACTTACCACTTTTTTTGGTATTATAATGATCTATAATTTGAATCATGTTCCTTTTTAGCTTATAAGATTCTTCTGTAGAGGGGCTTGTCTATATCTTACTTACCTTTAAGCTCCATAGCACATAAGAACTTGGAGAAAACTATGCTTGTTGAGTACTGACTATGTTTTAAAAGTTTTTTAGTTTTTGTAATGTCTTTACAAGCTAGATCTTTTTATCTCCATTTGACTGCATAGGAACATTGGCTCGGAGGAGTGAGGGTACTTGCCCAAGGCCCCCAAACCATGAAATGATGGTGCAAAAATGTGAGCTCAGTGCCGTCTGCCTACAGAGCCAAGCGGGGCTCTTTTTACTGCACGGGGCCCTCGATATTCATTTGTAAAATAAAGAAATGCTTGATTGATGACTGAGCCAACCAACTCAATGCAGTCGGCAACAAGGGATGCTAAAAATAAAGGACTATTTTTAAAAAGGAATGAGTTTTATGCACTAGACAGTGGGTAATTTTATATAGTTGTGATTGTTCACTGTTAACGACAGAATTTTTATGGCTGGCATGATTTGAGAAACAGCTCTGAAGAAATGCAGTGCCTAGTGGGAATGATGGGTTAAAATCCTCAGAAAGCTAAATAGATATGAATGGACCACAGATGAGGGGGCTGGCACTGTGCTAGGAAGATCTTCAGTGGCATGGCCTTGGTCGTCTAATTCTGGCAGCAGGTTTGCTCTTAATTAAGTCAGAAATATGAAGGAAGGTGAATGGCATTGGTTGTTTCTTAGAATGTTGAACTAAAGCAAGTTGGATCAGAGTTCTCATTTTTTTCCTCAAAGGACTTTTGAAAGCTAGAATTGGAGCAAACAAAATGAGATCCTCATGTAATGATGGGTCTTATTTTTAATGAAGGGTAGGACTCTCCAGGTGAAGAACATGAGTAATTTCACCACTCAGGAAACCCACAACCAAGAGTGAGGACGAGGTCAGAAATGAAGGAAGTAAGTCCCTGTCTGTCTGTCTGTCTGTCTCTTCCTCAACCTCCTTTCCCCGTCCCTCTTCTTCTCCTTGTCTTTCTCTGTAGATCTAAACTGTTTGTCATCTTGGTTTCTCCCCAAGCAACTTTCATTCTTCTATTTCAGAGGATTGACTTTTACTTCTTCCCTAGCCATGTAAATATATATATATATTCGAATGGTTGGTAGATAGATAGGTA